TCCGAATTATTTTTGCTGCCTCAAACAATGTTGTATAATCATCAGGATTGTTTTTAAAGTTATCTACCGCCTTTGCTTGATATTTGCTATAAAAACTGTTCGGACTTTCTACGCCATAGAGGTCTTGAAAAAATTATTCCTGGCACGTTATCTTGTAGAAGTTTCTTTTAGTCACATTTATAATTCACCTCAGTTTGGTCATTATACCCAATTAAGTTATTGTTTTATTGATGCTGTTCATATCCATCGTAAAACCATCTTTTTTTAAGTTCAAATGGACTAAACCAATGATTTCTACATCTGCGATAACCCGTCCAATATCATCCAATTCTTGAATTTCTTCTTGAGTTTTTGTCAATTTAACAGATTTCTGCACTGTTACCCAACACTTTAAGTGGTATTTAGCATCATTTGCAACGACATCATCAGACGTTTGCAACGGCGTCATCAGACATTTGCAACGGCGTCATTTGGGATAGTGTTTAATCTAAGGAAGAATTCTTGATCGTTAAGCGACTTGGAAACTTTTAACATTTTTTTCCCTGTCTCTGTAAACTTAACTTTTTGAAGTTTTTCACCGCCTTCACATTGGCAAATTATTAAAAGTTCTTTGTTGTAGACTTGAGATTTTGAAGAAGCAATTTTCCTATACCTTTTGACATTTTACTTGAATCTTCTGATTCATATATGTCTTTTGTGGGTTTAGTTTCAGAATTGCTTGCAATATATATACTGTTTTGTTCAAGCAAACGTTGCAAACTTTTTTGGTGGGTGAACTTTTTGTAACATTAAGAGTGATAAACATCTTTTTCACCTAGTTCCTCGCATTGTATTTCTCTTAAAATTTGATAAAAATAAGATAAAAATAAGATAAAAATCTATTGCCTCTGGGTCATAATAGGAGTACTTTTGCCTTAAACATAGCATAAGTATTTCCAAAGCGTCACGCAAACTGGTTTTTACAATCTGAAAATAAATTTAGTAATTGCTAGTAGACACTTTTAAAAATTACTTAAAGAACATATCCAAAATGCACAAAATCGTATTTTTAAAGGATAAGAGATGTAAAAATACGTAACTTTATATTTTTATGATTGGTATAAAAAAAAATTTAATTTCCAAAAAAAAAATTAGTTGCTATGGGAACCAGTTACGTCATACCACTTGACTTTTCAAATCCTTATTTTTCAAGGATCTCATATCAACAAAAAGTTTGCTTGTAACACGTATGTGCACACGAAGGAACATAGTGGCTGCACTAATGTTCATGTTTATGTCAAATAAGACTGCTTTGTAAAAAATCGCGGTAGCTGGAGCTTAGGACCAAAATACCTAAAAAGGTTTGCAGGCTGAACTAAAAATGTTATGATTGGTATAAAAAAAATTTAATTTCCAAAAAAAAAATTAGTTGCTATGGGAACCAGTTACGTCATACCACTTGACTTTTGAAAAAAAAGAATAATGAGTTTATAAAGTACTCTGATTTACTATTTTTATTTTAAATTTTTTTTCTTCATTTTTTTTTTTTTTTTTTTTTTAGTGCTCAAATGTTGCGATTAAGTGAAACATTTTCAATTTAGAGAAGGTGGAAAATTTAGAGAGGGTGAAAAATTTACATAATCATTTTTCACCTTTAGGGAACTTTAGGATTATTAAATAAAATTTAAAAATAAATTCGTTGTTGAATTTAAATTTAGTATAATAAAGTAAATTAAAATGTTTCATCGACTCTTTACCCTCACATCAAACTTCAGCTTCAAATTTTTTTTTTGTGTATTTTTTTTCCCAGGCTCTTATCACAATTTTTTTTCGGCAACTTGGCTACAAAAACAAACTTAGTTTTGAAGTTTTTATAATGCTTGAAAGTGTTATATTGGAAACACCAAAAAATCCTGCGTCCGCTTACATAACTAATAATTCTTACCGCGCATCTGTCTAACCTTTTCAAATATTTGATTTTTTTTATAACAAATATAGATCGAAGTTTTAATCGAAAGTTTTATCCAAAAAAAAATATTTTTTCTTTATTATATAATTAATTTTTCTTTATTATATAATTAATTTCATGCTTTCATGCTTACCTTTTTTTTATATTGAACCTAAGTAAAAAATATGTTCATTGCAACGTGTATGTATGCGTGAATGTATGCAACGTGTATGTATGCAGTGTATGTATGCAGTGAATGTATGCAACGTGTATGTATGCAGTGAATGTACTTTTTGTGTGCTTTTCTTGTATTACTGTTTTAAAAACAGAGTTGGATTTACATCCTATTGGCTACTGAATATTCCTTACCTTTTTAAATTCAAACATTATTATTAATTATGTTCAAACATAATTAATAATAATTTATATTACTAATAATATACAATTTTATTAGATCATCAAAATTAATTTATATATATAAACAAGAATATGACGAAACCTACTAACTAGGGTGTTTGGTATTTTTTTTACCACAAAAATCATAGCATTGGTACGAAGTCTGTTATTTTAGCTTATAAAAAACTAAAAATGCAAATATTCTATTTTACCAGGTGACACACAAATGAACAAGAAACGAATAAAACCATTTTGGACAAAACGAGGCTAAAGAATCAGAAAAAAGAATGCGGAAAATATTATAAATTTCGGTAACTTTAAAATATCGCCATCTGAGAACAAAGAGGCTGTTTTTTATCTTTTCTATCAATAAATAGTCACCAGTTGGTAGAGTGTCGACTAAATCTGGAAATAAATATGATGAAATTTAATTTAATTAAATTATTTTTAATAGTTTTTAAAGGGAATATTGAAATAATTAGTAGAACTTTCTGGCGGAAAGTCTTACATACTAAAATATAAAACTCAATTTTCTCGGAAAATTAAAAAATGGTCATACGGCCTCCTGGTTTGCAGCTGGCAATATGCTGACTTTGCGAATGGATTTTATATTGTAGTAGGCGCAAAACAGGATGTTGTAGAGATTTAACTTGGAATTTCTCGTAAACTAAAAGTTTCCAGTTAGATATCTCAATTACATCTTATTACAGATTAAAGATTCACTAAAATATTGTTAATAACAACAACCTTATTTTAATGAAGTTTTTAATTTTCTTTTTTATAATTTTTATTATTTCTCTAAAAGACGGGATTTTTCCTGATCAATTAAAATTAGCAAAAATAATTCCTATATACAAAAGCGGCGATGGCTCAATAAAATTTAACTATAGACCAATTTCCATACTTTCCTGTTTTTCCAAAATACTAGAGCGTATTATGCACAACAGACTGTACAATTATCTTAAGAAAAAAAAAATTTTTATCATAAAGAATTTGGCTTTCGCAAAAACCATTTAATTGAACATGCAATAATTGATCTTGATTGTTTTTAATTAATATAAATGATGTTTACTTGTCTTCAAAAATACTCAACTATATTATTTTTGCTGATGACACTGTTTTCTTTTCAGACTTAAAATAAAAAAAATATTTTTTCATTATGTAAACAAAGAACAAATTTATCTTAATGAGTGGTTTATAGCAAATAAACTTTCATTGAATACCGATAAAGCTAAATATATTTTGTTTGCTAAACCATCTAAATCTGAAAACCTTCACTTAAACTGCCAGAACTAATAAAAATATTAAAATAGTTTTTTTTTTAAGAAAATATTTGGAATAATTTTCGATGAACGCTTAAATTGGAAAACCCAAATAAAGTTAGTCGAGAATAAAGTTTCCAAAGACTCTAGGGATTACGTACAAGACAAAAACATCTCTTAAATAAAATGTTTAAAAAATTTATAATATTCATTTATACCAAGCCATATTATTTATTGCAATGTTTCCTGGGAAAACAATCATTCATCTTTCCTAAAAAAAATTTTATACAAAACAAAAGCATATCGATTAGTTTTGGGCGCAGATAAGTACGAAAGTGCCAAGCCCGTTACTCAAGGAAATAGATGCTTTAAACATATACGAACTAAATATCTACCATAACTTTAGGGCGGTGCTTCTTGGCCCTCCCTCCTTCCCCAGTGTCGCGGGTCCTGGTATATTAAAGAATTATCTAAACAAATTTGTTTGCTTAAAACAATTTTTGATTTTTAATAAATTTTTTTGTATCAAAGTTGTCAATTAAAAAAAAATCTTTTTAAGAATTAAACGATTTTGTTTCATCATTTCATTATAAAATATCAACTAAGTTAATAAGATCACAGAGATTACAAAATCACACATATAAAGTAGTTAACTATTTGAGAGATTAGAAAACACTCCCTTGTAATGAAATACATGAATGTCCTAGATATATCAAAACTTAATTCAAGGGAGGAGGCACACATACCTTCTGATGTCGTCAGCTTTGGTCGAACTAAAAAAATAATAAAACTAACCTTACCTCTTAACCCTACATTTTCAAATCCCTTTTCTGATTCAGAAGAAAAAATGATGAGTGGAAACTGACCTTAAACATTTTTTCTTTAATTAATACCAATGCTTTTTCATTAATTAATACCAATCCTTGATAAAACAAATTTGTACTAAATAACAATTCAAAGATAATTTTCTTGATGTGATGGTTTACTGAGTGCAGGGGCGGTACAACTCTGTCTGAATGACCTCATAAACAACGACTCTATTCTTTGAAAGTTTTAAATATCATAGTTTTTGGTTTCTCCTAAAAAGCGGAGAAAACCAAAAACTATGCTCTGATTACCAACCATTCCTACCCAATTTCACTAGTACAATTTCATAAAAAGCTTTGAACGCTTCTTATCAACATATTTAAATATATATACATAAACAGTTAAAATAATTTTACCACTAATGCATCGCAATAACAACAAAAAATGGTTACTTTATGAGACGTTGCTTGAAAAGAAAAAAACTTTGACTGCAGACTTGCAAAAAAATTTTCTCAATTTTTTATTAAATATATAAAAAAAAAAAATTTTTATCAAATATCAGAAAAGCAAAATTAGACTTTTAGAATTCTTATAAAAATACTCATTAATTTTGTGATGTATTAATTAATTCCACATTAAACAATATACATAATAAATATTCCCCTAATTAAATATTTAAAACAAGTAAGGCTAAAAATTCACATAATATAATAATTAAAAATGTACTAATATTCATCTCATTTTCAAAAAAAAAATTTTTTAAAGGATTGCATGACGTAAAAAAGCTTGATGACCAAATATTAAATACATTTCTTCACAAACGTTTTAACTCTGATTAGATTGCCTGCGTATTAACATGCGACGCTTCTGGAGTTCTGCTAAAAAAGACCCGGGTATAGCTGCTTCTGGTTCATTGTCTATTGTAGACTGAGAAGGAGTGGTATGAGAACTAGTTTCTGACTTTTGTTTTTGTATTGGTTGATTTATTGGCTTATGAACAGAACTTGGAACTGGTGAAGAATTTCTTCGAATTTCTAACGACCTATTTGGTGTAGAAGCAGGGCTTAAACGTTTTAATAACTCTGCAGGACTATGACCATTAAAGGCTTGTATGAGACTTGGATTATTCCTGTTTATACCATATTGATAACCCTTATTGCAAACAGTATGATGTTTTGACTTTGGTAAGTTCATTTTATAATCAGGAAATTCAGGAATAATTTCACTGTTAAAGCTGTTTGACCGATGTATGTTGTTTGTTGGAATACTAGGGCTACGAACGCTTGCAGTTGCTAGCATATTTCGTTTGAAATGACTGCGATCAATCGTTGCATACCTTAAGTCATTACGAGCCAATGCAGAGCCAGATAACTCGCTATCATCACAATCTATCTCAATAACGTCTGAATCACTACCACTACGGTGAGTCTTCTTTACGTGTTTATTTTGTGAACTTAAAGAGTTATAAGAACCAATTCCAGAACTATCACATGTTTCAATACTAGACCAACTATTTGTGCTATATTGAGATGGTATACCTCGAGAAACTGAAAATAAATACATTATTAAAAAATAAAAAAAATGAACTGAAAATTGTATCGAAATACCGCTTTTAAAGCAACCGATAAAAACGAATCGTTTTGTCAGTTTGATTAGTTGATACTATTAGTTGATATTATTCATTAGCAGTTAATTTATTACTATTTCAATTATTATTTTAGTAATAATACTTTCACGTAAAAGTCAGTATTGTTTTTATTATAATATATAATAATTATGTTAATTTAAAAACTACATTTATAACTATTTTTGAAAATTAACTTAATAATTTAATGTTTAATAATGAATTTAATTACCTATAAATAAATATTAGAAGAATTTTATTGTTTTAATGATTAGAAGAATCTAGAAAAAAAGTTTTGTTTTATTCTTTTAATAACATTTTGTTTATAAAATTTAATTTTTTTAAACATTCTAAATATTTATATAAATATAATAATTATTACATAAAATATAATATTTATTATATAATTTAGTTTAGCATAAAAAAACTAAATATATTGTTTTAAAACTACTATTAAAAAAATGTTAAAAGTTTTTATTAATTTTAATTTATCATTTATTTTCTTTTTCATTTTAATAATTTAATGAAACAATATTCCAAAAAACTTTGGTTTAATCAAATTGTTATATAACTAAAAATTAATCAAAAAATCATAAAAATAAATTAACCTCGCAAGGAATCTTCATTACTGTCATTTTTGTAGTTAGTTTCGGCTCCGTGAATCTCGTTTAAAGTGACTGGATCATACATTGCAATCGGTTTTTCAATTGAATCATTAGAAGAATAGGATAAATGCATGGATTGCTTTTCTAAAAAATTGCGATTTGGTTGTGGAACACTTACAGGGATTGGATCATGATTAAAAGACATTGTACTGCTTCTTGGTAAAGTGTGCCTTGAATGATTGAAACTAACTGATAGAGAACGATCTTTTACTATAAGTGGGCTGGACAAAGGACTCTGAAAATAATAAAAATAAATAAAAGCCTTTCTAAAATACCTTTAAACACTAGTAATTAAACTTTATAAAACCTTTTTGATTAACGAGTTAATCAAAAAGTTTTTATAAACACTTATTATCTATCATGGTCACTTTATATCTATCTTAAAAAGTTTGGAAATCAAGTGTTGCTTAAAAGACATTAGATGAAAAAATTCCAATCTGATAGACATAAATCCTCATTCTGCATAGAAAAGTCATCAAAATTTTGCTCTTAAAAGTTAATAGATCATTAGAAAGAGCCTTGGATTATTCATAAAGATAGTTTGTAAAAAACACAATGCAATTTGTAACAGTATTTAATTATAGCAGGAACTACTGTCGCTGAATCATTTGGGTGATAGATCTGTGTTTGCAGGACCAGCAGGTAGAGACAGCCACTCATAAACATGATGAGCATCTAGATGCCCGGAGGAAAAATCAAGTAATTGCGCATTAGGGTGGTTCTAAAATCAAAATTTTTGAAAAATATCTGCAGCTAGCACCTTAACGTGTTCTATATGATAAATTAACACTGGATTTAAATTTGAAAATTTTTTTTGGGCCTCAAGACCTTTGAACTTTTAATTAAACATTAAGGTGAGAACTGCAGATATCTTTTTTAAATATCTTTTTTTGAACCACCCTAATGTGCACCCAGGAAATAAACCAGTAGCTGGCAATAATACTTGACTTCTTCATTCTAGAAAGTCTCCTTGAAGTACTCTCTAAGTGTCTCCTTGAAGTACTATGTTACAGAACACTTTATTCAACAGCAAGGTTGTGCAAATGAGTAGTTATCCTGAAAGTATCTTGGGATCATTATTTTGACTATTCTTTAAAGTTTATTGACTTCTTAGTCTATTTATGGTCACAGCTTGACTAAAACGTAGAGGTGCTTACTTGGACTTTTTGTCGGGCCAAGAATAAGTTGTGTGATATGAGACACATGCCTCTCATATATGTTGTGTCTGCACATAAGCCAGAGAACAGACCTTTACAAAGCATGATCTGTGTTGCTGGCTGTAGTGTAAGAACCCCAATGATCTGATCTAAAAGTTAATAGTATTTAAGAAAACTTTGATTGGCAAGAACCTTGTGACTTTCCTTCGTGCTTTTAATCTTCACATTATCAAGCAACAAGTCTAAATGGTCAGCTTCAAACAGAGAAACACTTAAAATTCTTTTGTGAATTGTGTCAACTTGACTGGTGAACAAACTTACTTTCTTAGTATCAAAACGAATCACTGGCTCTAAACCTCTTACTTTGTTTATGTTCTAAACCTCTTACTTTGTTCATGTTCTGCTCTAGGATGATCTAAGCTTCAATTAAAGTGTGTGTTTTCCTCCTCACTTGATCTTGAGATAATTAGCTTCTTAAGGTCAATACCACTGGCTTTATAAAGAGAAAAAAGGTCCTAACACCAATACATCTTGCTATATTAGGGATTCCTACCAGGCTCATCAAAGTCTGGTAGGCTGTTGCAGTGTGTACAAGAAAACTTCAAAGTTTTTGTCTTCTAGTTCTTCTACTTTCCTTTTATACTTTTCCTTTTATTTCTTTTGCTTTTTATCATGTGCCTGCATTTTCAGTTTCATGATACTTAGTTTGTGAGTCATACAGTAGTTTACTTGGTTACTTTCAGTTTAATAGTTATAAAATGCACTGTAAAATATAAACATCATACACAGGGCTCGAAATAAGTCCTGGCCATTGGACATCGTCCAGCACTTGTCGGGTAAAAAATGATATTTATTGGTCAGTTTGTCCAACATTTTATCGCATTTATTTGCTTACCAATTTATTTGTTCCAAAGTTATTAATAAACTCAGTATTGAATATAAACTTTATTTTTTGAGCTTTTTATTTTTTACAAAAACAAAATTGAAGTTGAACACACGGCTAGGTTAATAAAATGTTATTTTTTTGAGTAAATTCATTTTTAAAAAGACGCCAAAGCATTACATTTTTTCGAATTAAGTAGCCCAGTTTTTATCATTCATATTAAAACGTTGCAACTAGTTATTAAATTAAATTTATAGTTTAGTATTTATTTTTTGTTCAATGGTTTTTATAATCATTAAACAAATATTGCAGCCTTGAAAACCCCTTTTAAATTTATTCTATAAAAATATACTTTGATAATTTAAATAAAATGGGTTTTTTGTAAACATAAAATGTTACTATATTTAACAAAGTAATAAGTAAACCTAAAAATTTATGTATTTAACAATTTTGTATTTTTATTATACATTTTTAACTATGTATTTAATAATTACATAATTTTTGTATTTAATATATTTACGTAATAATTTATGTATCAAATGATTTACAAAGCATTTCGCATAGTATAGTAATTTTTAAAAAACGTAATATAAATATATTTTCCTTTTCAAATTTTAGATTTTTGAGCTTAGATTTTTTATTCCTTTAAGATTTTTTTATTGTTAGATTTTATCTTAGAAATTTTCTTTTTATTTTTAGCGCATTTCAGTTGTCAAAACAAATTGCGTGGTCAAGTTGTAAAAACAAAACATCTTATGTGTGTTCAGGAATGGTGTTCAGATCGCACTTCTTTAATATTTATTGGACATGCACGGCAAACTTGAGTCTTTGTCGGACAAGTTGTCCGGTAGAAAAAAGTTTTATTATAATCATCTGCTCCATTCTGAAAAAGTGTTTTCCTTAGTTGCTTAAGTCAAAACCACCACATTGCAGGCACGCCTTATATGACCACGCATATAGTTCTTTGTTTTAACAATTTGACCACGGCTTTTTACAAGTTCTGATAATTAGCGCGTTTAAAAAATGCGCTAAAAAAAAAAAACAGAAAATTAAAATGCGATTTTTAATTTAATAGATTTCATAATTATAACTAAAGTACCCCAAAATTTCATTAGTACTTTAATACAAATTAATAAAAGGCAATCATTGAAAAAAATATTTAGATAAGAGTTTAAGGCAAAATGAGTACAGAAGCTATCAAAAAAATAATTACAAACCGTTTTATCATGGAAATATAATTTTTAATAAAGAAATTATTTGCTAAAAAAAGAATTACAATAATCTTGAAACAGTCAAATCTGCCAACTATTTCTTATCCCAGGGCATAATATCGTTTTTTTTTAATGAAGGTTGACTTGCGTATCTTTATTTATTAAAGAACGTTTAATTTAAAAGATTTATGTCAAATAAATTTCAAATAATTTTTATTCTAGATAATAAGTTATTAAATACATAAAAGATGCTTGGTAAATTTATTCAATTTTTGTTTTTTAAAAACTTTTTTTTGAAAATTAAAAATTGAATAAACTAAACATTTGCAAAGTGCGCACAAATTAATGAAAAATGCACAATAAAAAAAAAACTTTAGAAAGTATTTTTAACATGCAAACAAACATTATTTCACTTTACGGAAAACAAGAAAATTAAAAAAAAAAGCAAGCAAAATTTTATTTATAATGAATTCAATTGATTTAAACTTTTAATGTAATTGCTAAAAACATAAAAGAAACCGTATTTAAACTTTACGATCGCTTTCTTCGATAAAAGAAAGGAATCGAAATGTTAAAGCACAGTTTCTTTTGAAGTTTTTGCAAAAGCATTTATTTTAAGTAAAATTATAAATGCTTTTGAGAGTGCATGCAAAAACCATGCTAAAACATAATTACTTTCTTATTTTACTTAAAAGTGACGCTATTGAAAAAAGTAATTATTTTTTGGCGTTATTTTTCAAGTCTTCAGAAATTAATTGTTTTTCATTTTAAATACATATTTTTTTTAAAAAACAAAAAAATATTGATTGCAAAAATGAAAAAAAATGTAAGTAATTCGTTTGCTTTGAAAAATCTTAATCGAAGGCAACGTTTGCATAAGCAAAATTAAAACTTGATGTTTGTTTTTCTGTCTGTCTTTAAAGAAATGCGCGCAAAGTTACTTACGTTTTTAAACATCAATTTTTAAAAAAACTATTTATTCATGTGAAGGAATAATGAAGATTATTAGAGCTGTAATGTTTTTTTTTTACTTTCGCTTATAATAAAGTTTACATTAATGTTTTGATTTTTTTTTCTGGTTCATTTTTTGTTTATTTTATCATTCTTTAAATATTTTATTTTTTTAGCTTAATTTTTGTATTATATGTTTTTTTAAGAATTTTATTCTCTTTTCAGTTTATGGATTATTTTAATTTTAGTTTGCATTTTTTTTTTTTTAAACGCATTTTTTAAACGCGCTAATTATTAAAACTGGTCATATAAGGCGTGCGATCGCATGCCTCTTACGAGAAGTCCTGCATTAATAGCTTTTTGTAAAATAACAAAAAAAAAAATTTTTTTAATTTGAAAACACTATTAAACTTTTTACCTTACGAGTTGACTTTTGAGCTAAAATTTTCAATTGAAGCTACTTATACATAATGTGTATATATATATATATATATATATATATATATATATATATATATATATATATATATATATATATATATATATATATATAATCTTTGAATGTTATTTTCTTGTTATACGTTAAAATATGGTTAGAATTCAATAAATACGGCTGCGTATAAACTTTTTTTAAATATATATACATTTTTTTCTTTAATATATAATTATTTCGATATTTCGCTGATCTATAATGGTATTATACCTGATGACGCTGATCACAATAGATCAGCGAAATATCGAAATAATTATATATTAAAGAAAAAAATATATATATTTAAAAAAAGTTTATACGCAGCCGTATTTATTGAATTCTAACCATATATATATATATATATATATATATATATATATATATATATATATATATATATATATATATATATATATATATATATATATATATATATATATATATATATATATATATATATATATATATATATATATATATAAAACAGAAAAGCAGTATTATTCAAAATAACAATAGTTGATACTCACAATAACATCATCTCTTTTACCAGGCTGCAGATATTCAGCAACTTTGTATGCATTTATAGCATCTTCAGAAACAATTGGCAATTGTTTTGGATTAGCACATAACTTGTTTGTATCTTCTAAGATTGTTTGAAGTTGCTCAATTTCAGAAATGAGAGTTAATTCTTGTTCAATGCATGGTTTGTAACAATCGAAAAAAAATGTTGCTCGAGAACGTTCTTCTGTCATTAATTTGCGGAGGTAATCTTTCTCTTGATTTTCTAAAGAGCTGCATAGCTGGTTTGCAACCTAAAGTATAAATTTGATATCTGCTTATTATGTGTGTATTTTTAGTAAATAGTTTAAAGATTTTATAAAATATAAAAACACCAATATTTAAAAAAGACGACATAAATATTACTTTAAATTAGACCTTTGTCTCTGACATCAGTTCTTTATAAACTTTTAGAAAGTTTAATTCATGATGGTAAAAAGGTAGACTTATTATTACTGGATTTTGAAAGTTTTCAACTCTAAGTCCTGTTTAAATGATTAATTGAAAAATTATCAGCCTATAACATTAAAGGGAGGCTGCTAACTTGGATCAAACATATTATAATTGGGTAGAACCACAAAAGATATTTATGGATGAAAATACATCTAATTGGTACGAAGTATTTAGTGGAGTGCCACAAGACTTTGTATTGTATCCAATCCCTCTTATTATATATATATATATATATATATATATATATATATATATATATATATATATATATATATATATATATATATATATATATATATATATATATATATATATATACTGATGAAAGAAAATTGATTTCAATTATTGATAATGATGATAGCCTTTTAAAAGCACCAAATCAACTTCAAATTGATATTAGAGTAATCAACTGGTGTAATATTTGGGGAATAAAACTCATTTAAGGAAAATGTAAAGTAATCCACATTGGGGTACATTAATATCAGCTGGTCTAAAATGGTATGAGCAAGTAAAATCAACAGTTCTTAAAGCACAAAGGTCACTGGGTTTAATAAAATTTGTATTGTATTTTAATTTAGTAAGACCTTATCTCAAATTAGCAGTACCAGTTTGGAACTTAACTCTAAAAGATGATAAAGTAGAACTTGAAAAGACGCAAAGAAGAACAAAACTTCTTCTAGATCTCAAAAACCTATTATATAAAGAAAAACTTTGAAAAATAAATTTAGCAATTTAAGAAAATCGCAGAACTAGGGAGGATTTAATATACAAATATAAAATATCAAATAGCTTACAAACTGTGAATTGGTTCAAAAAACTGGTTTCCTCAAGCGAGAGTTCTTCATCCAACATATGTGGACATAGTAAAAGAATAGATATAATAAAGAATATAACAAAATTAATAAAAACTAGAATTTTTAGCCTTTGTTGTTTATTCAAGTTCCTTAATTTGTTTTAAAGCTAATTATGAATATTTATAGCATAAATATTATAATAGCATCTCAGTATGCTCTGCAACAATGTATATATTGTTGTTACAGCGAATATATTATTATTACCATCATTATTAATAAAAATGTTAAATTACTCATAAGAATGTTAAATTATTATAAAAATGTTAAATTATTCATGAAAATGCTTAATTATTCATCAAAATGTTAAACATAATTATATTCACAACAAATTAGAATGTTTAAAAAAGTTATAAAACTGTTTAAACAATCAAATTATTGTAATATTAAAAACTTTTTGAAAATTTTTTGAATATAGTTTAGAAAATTGACAGTAAAATAATTAATGTAGAGCAATCACAAGATAAAATGGAATCTTTTTAGATTTTGAATTTAGATTGAATGTACATTATTTGTTTCAATAAGAATGTGCTGAGTATAAAAAAGCCTTTATGTGCTTGATGTATGAAGACTAGCAAAGGGAGTGTGTTTTTAACTTATATTTAAGAATAACTTTTATGATATTTTACATTATTAAATTATTTTTATCACAAATATTATTCATAATAAAAGCAATTGTATAATTCAAAAAATTACCCTCATTGCATCTCTGTACTGATCTGTATATTCTTGTTTGCCAATTTTCTTTGCTGCTTTTTTCTTTAATTTCACAGTTTCAGTGCATGCCTTTTTTAAATCATTTTTTAAACGCTTGTAATCTAATTTTAAAATGTTGAAAAATTTTGACAACATATTTTAAAATAAACTTTTTTATTTAATAAATTGCAATTTTAAATAACAACAATAGTAAAAAACTTGTCAAAACAAAGTCATTTTTGCTGTTTGTAAAAGAATTGCATACCAGATGCAACTTATATCTGGCGCAAATGAATATATTTACAAACATGTACTATTGACAGTTGTTATAAAATTATATCATCAAAACTCTTGTTTTATCTTAATGACAAGCTGTATTAAGCAAATAGATCTCAACTGGTTAAACTTCTCAAGCATTACTACATAGCAAAATATTAGCTGAAAGGACTTTTTTTGGTTAACTATTCATTTAATAGATTCACTTGTTTTACCAAAATGTGAGAGTAAAATTAGAGTGGAATGAGTATGAACCAAGAAGTGTACCTCAACCATTGTATGTTAAAGTAGTTTGTCCCATTCATTAAGAAACATCACAGCAATGGTAAATATGTATTTTTGGCCTGATTTAGCCCCATCCCACTATGCTAAATCAGTCTCAAGCACAAGCAATGGCTGCAAATAAAAAACCACAGATATTAAAAGACATGAATCCAACAAATGTGCTAGAAATTTGTCTTATTGGGAATTTTGGGACAATTCTTAAACGTGAAATATACATGGACATCTTTGACTGTAATTTTAAAATGCCTTCATGTCATTATGCTCAAAAAAAAAAAAAAAAAGATGTATTAAAATAGATTTTTTGTAACTAAAATAACTTAATAAACTCAATTAACAATATCTTAACAAAATTTAATTACAATACAACTTCAAAAAATTTTTAAATAAAATAATTTATAAAAAGTAACTCATATAAAAAAATAAATAATTTTATAAAATGAAAATTATATATAAGTTTAATTTAAATCTATTATAATTATTATAATATATTAAAATTCCTTATATAATAATAAGAAGCCATTAACAACTAATATCACCTTTTGTGTGATCTTTTTCAAGTTGGCTAGAGTTTTTCTTCCATTCATCAATGCAGGTTTGCATTGGACTAACGAGACTATCAGCAAGAATCCTTTAATAACCAAAAAGGATATAAATTAAGAAATAACAGACTATATAATAATATAACAGATAATTATAAGTTTTATAAATTCATTAATTATATTTAAGTCTTATAAATTCATTAATTATATTATATTACTTAATTACATTACTTATTAATTCAATTATTAAATTAATTTAGTTATAATGATGACAATAATGATCAACATCATTTAAGCATTTAGGATTGGATGGTTCTCATAATGTTGTTACATATCTATAAAGCACTCTTTTAAAGTTTTTCTACCTGTACTTTTTTCTCCTGACTCTATACATGCTGATACCTAATTATCTGGATCTTTACACTCTACATGTCAACTTAACATGGCAGACCAAAGAAAAATACTATCAGATACACTCACTATTCCTAATTTGTCTAAGATCAATAATCTGTCTTCTCATCTGTCTTGATCATCAACAAACTTCTTTGCTTATCTTTCAAAGCCACGCCACACACTCATCTAATCATCTTTCAAAGCCACGCCACACACTCATCTAATCATCTTTCAAAGCCACGCCACACACTCATCTAATCATTTTTCAAAGCCACGCCACACACTCATCTAATCATCTTTCAAAGCCACGCCACACACTCATCATCTTTCAAAGCCACGCCACACACTCATCATCTTTTCTGTTCTCTGGGTATCATCAATCTTTATTTTTATGTTAAAACGCCAAACATCATAACAATGTGAATGTATGTGATGTATAACTTTCTTTTTATCTTGAATGATGCATCTCTTGCTGTTAGACTGTTCATACAAGTTTAACAAGCTCCTTCTATCCTTAACAGATTAACCTGAATTTTATTTTAGAGTTTCCTATTTTCGAGGTGAGTTGCCTTCACCATAACTAAACAACCTCACCTGCCATAAAACATATTTCTTTAAGGATCTTATGGGATCAATTTTAATCAAGATGTCATAATAATGATGGTAATGTTGTAATAATGTCATAACCAGGATATATGATGTTAATGAAAAATGAAATAATAAATTCCTTTTCATAAGAAGATAATATATTTTTTTTTTAATTCAATAGATAAATCCCAAACCCAAAATTAACCTATATAAATCTTAACCCAAATTTACCCCACATATGTCTTCAGCTTATTTTCAATGGATTTATGCCTCATAACAATTTTAGTAAAAGCAATGCCAATATCACGTGTACCACCTATTAAAAAAAAATAAAAAGAATGTACAAAAGAACTAAAACCCTTGTCTTCACAAAACTAAAAAATTATTTAACTTAAAAAAAAATTACCTTTAGAATTAGTCATACTATCTGCAATTTTTTGAAATGCATCCAAAAAATTATCAGCTAACAAGACTGTTTGTCTAAATTAATAAACTGAGATGTAATTCATATGACTTTTATTATATATATATATATATATATATATATATATATATATATATATATATATATATATATATATATATATATATATATATATATATATATATATATATATATATATATATATATATATATATATATATATATATATATATATATATATATATATATACATTGCTTTTTTTAAATACTTATGTTTTTACTTAGCAATACTTTTCATATGTAAATAAAAAAATATTTATTTAGAAAATATTTCATAGAACAGTAGAATGTTGCAATATTGAACAAAAGAAAGTAAAATATTTAGCTTTCTATTCAAAAGCAGATTAATATACATTTTGATTTTTTTGTAGCTAAATAAGCAAATCATGCAAAAAATACAAAAAGAACATCAATTTAAGAAAAAAGTGAAGTCTTTCTTTTTTGTAATAATTATTATAAATTTGATCAATAAAATATAAATATTTTTTCTCCATGTATGTACATTTTTTTCTTTAGAAATTACAGTAAACTTCAGGACATAACTAATGTAATAATAGAACAGAACTAATAGTAATTAAAATTACTAAAATATTTGAAAAGAAAAGTAAAAAAAAAAAAACAAATTTTTTTCTTATTTTGACATTTTCAAGTGTTTATGAGTTAAGGTAAAACATTTTTAATAATTTGTTTATATGTTACAAAACCTTTATCTATTTTTAATAATTAATAATTTGTTTATATGTTACAAAACTTTTATTTGTTTTTAAAGATTATAAAAACAAAAATTTGTCTAAAATAATATTATTAAAAAAAATAGAACTAAAAAAAAAAAAATTATATACAAGTATTGAAGTTGTTTATTCACATTTTTGGATTGAAAGCATTTAATTGTGATGTGATGTACATTTAAAATTGTAAAGTGAAAGCATGTGGTTATAACTGAAGCTGTCACTTTTACAATAAGGTTTAATTGTAACTATAGTTTACAAAATCAGTTGTTCTTTTAAAGATAATGACAATATGCACACAATAAAAAAATTTTTAGATTGGCAATCTGATATTTAAAGAGCTGTGAGAAAGAACATACAAAAGAGGTTTACAAAATTTTTATTTATTTTTGAAGATTCTAAAAATTTAGAACAACAATCTCATTTTAAAAACTATGGTTAGAATTAAACCTTTTTGTAAGCTTTGGGGCTAAAGGCTATAAGACAAATTGTGTCTTCTTCTTGTCCTGACCATCTGAATTTATATTAAAATAATAATTGTATTTATATATTTATACAGCAAAACATGAAACATGAATGTTTCATGTTTTCATTTTCAAACAGTATGGAAAGAGACCTTTTGGTAAAAAAGTCTTTATATCTATTTTGCTACAGCAATGGTAATACAATAAATTTTATTGTTTTTTAAAAAACTGTAAACAGTCAACTTATATTTTTTGATAGAGTTTATTTTATTTACATTAAATCTTAAATATTTAATTTTTATGCCATGTACACATACATTGAAAGATATGGGAACATACCCTACCCGAGTGTTTATTTGCTTTAACTCCTAAAAAGACATCATTGACAAAATGTCAATAAAAGATTCAAAGTTATTTTTCTTAACTTATATGTCTTTAAAATTTCAAACTAACTTTATTTAAAAGAGATATTCATATTTCTTCAAATTAAATTTAAACTTTTTATAGTTTTTTTAATATTAGCTTTAAAAAATGAAGTTAATTGATCTAGATTCTTCAAAAAGATAACAGAAATTAGGATGCCATTTTAAAAGTATTTTACAAAGTTTGCAATACTCATAACTTGCAATACTCTAATTTTTATTAAATATATTTTTTTTAAATAAATATGATATTACAAAATGTGGCATATATAAATGATTATTTATTTGTTTGACAGAAAAAAAAGGTATCTAAAAAAATTCAAAATTTTTGATAATTTCTCTAAGTTAAAAAAAATCTGATGATCTTATCTGAAGAATGTGGAGTTAGGGCTTTCATCTCAGTGTTATTAATACACAAATCAAGCTAATTGGACTAAATACTTCATTTCTAGCTAAAGTTTTTTCAATTAGGCTATGATGATTATCAACTTCTTGCACAAGAGATGTTTTTCTGAAAATTCTCGTGTGTCTTCATCAGAAAGTTTTCTAATATAAAACCTTTTAAAGCAAAAAGAAGAATTTTTATTTTGTGGTACACAAGTCAGACAAATAATTTCTAATTGCCTTAAAACCTTTACCAACATTGATGGAATAAAATTAACAGTTCACTACCAGTATAATCACTCTACACACAACAGTAAACCTTGTTATCTATTGAACTTTGAATAGTGAGATTATAAAGTGATAGTTTTCTTTTATTTAAAACTTGATAAATTTGTGCTTAGAAGCTGAATAACATTTTCTGTATCAAAACATAAAACAACTTTATCATTATCTATCAATCTTATTTTTTTTACAGGAATCTGTCTTTACAAAAATGTGTTGGTATATTGTATCTATATTAATTTTATTCTTTTATTCTTTCACAGCAACCGGTCTGATTTTGGAATTGAAAAACTTATATTAAATTGAGGATTAAACACTTCTCTATACTTATGTAACAAAACATATTGAATTCCTTTTTTTAGCCCAATGTTCAGTACAGTCATACATTAATGATAAATTCAACTTATTTTCTTATTAATCTTTTATTAATTTTTTAATGTTGGTGACAACTTGTACTTTATGTGCTTTCCTTTTTTTCCTTTCAACTAGAACACCTGTATGTAGATCTATTAACTTGTTGTGAAAACAATGTACACTTACTTGAGAAATGCTTTTCTATAAAAATCCTTTTACAAACTCTGTGAATAATAGCATTATTTACCAAAAAATATTGATAAGAATACTTTCTTCTGCATCTGAAATAGTTCTAGCTCTTACTTTTTCATTACTTATAGTAAATTCAGCATAAAAAGCATTTTTGCTATTGCCAACTCCAGAAATGTTTAAATAAAAGTTTTCTTTTTTTCCATGTAATTTTTAATTACAAGAAAATATGCAATTTAAGCAATTACTATTAGCAGATATTCATCTTTTATCCCTTTTGAATTTATATAGGATTATCTAGATTTTCTTTGTGCAATTCCTTTTCCACATATCAGTATTTCTTATCCAGTTGTAAGTTTTCTTTACTTGTCCTTCACTGAAAAAATAATAAATAATTTAATTTAGATTACCTTGATCTTCAACAACAGTAATGTTTTTTTGTTTAAATGATTAAATTTGTAAATGTTTAAAATTTAAAATTTTAAATGTTTAAATTTTACACAATTATTATTACATTCTAAACAAATTTTTTATTATTTAAAGATAAATGTTTTATCTTTAAATAATAATAACACTATTTTTTAAATAAATAATCACAATTCGACTTACATTATAAAATTACAAAAAAAGAAATTTTTTGTAGTTTAGCAGTGTCATCTTGAAACTCAAATTTTAAAAAGCAAGCTGGCTGATTGGCTA